ACTATTATAATTAAAACCGCAAATTCCGTTCCGTACTAACAAAATAATCAATATTATAACTTTGATTTTTTATTATAACTTCGATTTTTAATTATAACTTTGATTTGAGAGTTACCTAAAATCCGTGCGACATATTTTAGAATATTTTAAAACATATAACTTTCGTTCGTTTTAATCACTTCTTTTGACTTCTTATTACTTATTTATTATTCTGCATTTTTTTACACACACTACCTATCCTATACCTTTTCTATATCAAAAAAAAAAAAAAGAAAGAAAAAAAAAGAAAAAAAACAAGAGAATATTGAAAAGTAAGATTCCCTATTTTATTCTTCTTTCCTTTTTATTTATTCTCCTTCACCCTCTTTACACATTCTTTAATATTTAATATTCTTTAATATTTAAACATAAAGTATATAGAGTCGCGAATAAAATTCTATTCTTTTTATTAAACTTTTTACTTCATTTTTATATTATTCTTATAAAAATATTCTTTATTTATTTAACTTTTTACTTCATTTTTATTATTCTTATAATCTATCTTTTAAAATAACGTTATTTCCCGCGTTATTTCGAGATTTTTGTTTAATTTTTATTTATCAACTTTTGTAAAAGTAAAAGTAGAGTCATTCGCGATTTCGCGTTTTTCGCGTCATATTTCAGCAACGGGGCCACCGGTAAGTTTAAACGTGGTCCCGCATCGTGGGACTACGGTCATCTCGTCGTGGGCGCACACCCTTCGCATCGTGGGACAGTAAAGGTAGGTTCCTGATTGCTACGTGGGACTGGAGTTGAAGATACAGCGATGGACGACGATGGACTACGCGCAACGGTACGTTAGTAGAATAAATAATTTATTCTTCTCACATAAAAAGCACGTCACTGTATATTATCTTTAAAGTTGTAGTATAATTTACACACAAGCAAATTGCAGTTTTTAGAGTTATATATGCCTAATAAATTTTAAATATAGTAAGTTAATTAAATTATTCTAAAACGGTTTCTTTTATAATAGTCTGGAAAAAAATCCTTCATATATGGACATATTCTATATCTGTAATGATGTTTAATTAAATACAATCATATATGAGATCTTCTCAATCTCATGCAAAATTATTATGCCTAGATATAGAATTTGAGCATATATGAAGAATTGTTTCTCGGAAAAATAATGATTTAGGATTAAATTATTTATTATCTTTTATATCTCTACAATAAAAATTTTTGAGAAGAATAAATTATTCTGCATGAGTAGTAATCGCACTGATTTTTTACTATATCGTCACTCTCTACGTATAATCTTGTAATTCCAAAACGCAAATTTTAGAGGAGAGCAGTTTAAAAGTTTAAACGTTCATATAGTTTCCCTAGTTAAG